TATTCTCATACTTCTGTAACCATGGGAGGAACTTTTAGGATCGGCCCGCATCTCGCCTGAATCTCTGCCAGTCCTTTTTTGGCCCTATTGAATCCCAACCAATGCAGCATGGCGAAGGGTTGGAAGTCAGGGACGTTAAGTACCCGCAAGTACATGAAAAAGACACGGTGGAGACGGTTCCTCGTGCGTTGTTTGGTCGTAGGGGCAGAAAGAGTCTAAATGAGTGCATCTCTGTTCTAAAGAGGACTCTCTGAGCCAGTTGTTGGTTGCGACAACAACGCAGTAAGGACACCTTTATGGTGTCACGATCCCCTTCTAGTCCAAGTTTAATTATTATTTCATTTCGTGTGCTTTTACTTATCACATAAGTTGAATCCCAAACCCTGGAAAGAATGGTCTGGACTTGGTCTAGAGGTTGTACAGCATGCCCAATAAGTGGACAAAATCAGACAATATCAAGCGTAAACTCGGAATATTGTTTTCGGTCGTTAATGCAAAAAATAAAGAAAAGACATAAAACGAAAACAAAACCAGACTAAAATGCACCCCACTTAAACAACCTTCATTATAATAAATCTCTATGTTATTATCATTCTTAACGGTAATTAAAATTGTATCATGTCACTGTACTAAGAGAACCATGGTAAATACCTCTACAAATATGCATTTTTTACTGCATCAACTTAAATATTTTAACTGTTGTTTCCGTAAATAAAAACACATTATGCCGTGTCAAGAAAATCAAATACATTTGAATAAAAGAAACCCGTTAGTTATTTCAACTTTCTCAACTTGTAACCTTTAAACAAAAGACAATTACTGGTTTTTATCACAAAAAATATCAAAGAAAGTCTTAAAATTCTCAAATCCAAATCGGATAAGATACTGTATCAAAACGAAGGTCGATCTCTACATGGAGTTTAAAAATTGAAACATATTATATTTGCTCCCCAAAATAGCATTACTGTTGTACACTAAGTTAACAAATTACTGTTAACCCTATGTGACTCACGTACATCAACAATAGCAAACATTTAACCCCCTAACCGCACACTTTGAAGTGTGCTTAATAGCTATATGTTTGCCACTGAACATGTTTTACTGTTTTATGAATGTAAAGAATTGCATCAAGAATGCAGGTTGGAGTCAAACTAGGTGTGAAGAGACAATCCTACCTATTATTCAAATCGCTGGAAGGACAAGACCATGTTTTTAAAGGAAAGGTGTCAGCTAAATTAATGGTTTGATAATATCAGATCAGTATGAAAGTACACAGAAGTCTTAAAAGGATTATAAAGAGGATTTGTAAATTTGTTATGCTTATCGGAGACACTAATAGCATCAATTTGTACCATTCCAAATTTCAATCAGACGTCTGTGGTTCCTGCATTTCCACTATAACTAAGTGTTTGATCACGTCACCCCCGCAAAATTTGCTTGTGTCACATAAAACCTCTGTCGGGTGACGTCATAAAACACTTAGCTTCATTAGAATTGCTAGAACCACAGACGTCTGATTGAAAATTGGAATTGCGCAAATTGGGGCAATCATTGACCCCGATACCCATACAAAATTTAGAAAAACCTCTTCACAATCCCTTTTACCAAATGGACAATCCATTTCGCACTTTTTTTTCACTAAATGAACGTTGTACTGATGGTTATTTGTTAAATCTTTCAGATACGTTTAATCGTCATAAGATAAGAAATTTGGCCTTGACTTGTTTGCAATTTGAGAGGTAAACGTAAATAGGTACAAATGTTTTTCTTTTTTAAATCAAGAATAACAACATTGTTGTATTGAAGTTGACATCACATAATATAGTAAAAACTCATCACGAAAAATCACTTATTAGATGCGCTGTAATACATGTGTATCACACAGGAATTTTTCTGAGAGATTGTTTAATAGAAATATATAAAGCTTATGTCTATGACCGAATACTACCGACATCAAATCTAATTGGGAGGGCTACTTGAAATAGAGCATTTTTTAAGGTGTGCACTCACTCAAATCAAGTCGTCGTAGCGTAATTTCTTAATCCATTTTACTGGTTTGTTTTCTTTATGATCATTTTGTCATATTCAAACACTACACTTCAAATTGTTGTTTTTACACTCGCCAACGCGTTGTCCTTTATGCAATATTCAATAAAAAAATGTCCTGTTGGTCTTTTTATTTTTACAAATGTCTTCTCATTTGCATTTTGCTCGTGGGGGGCATTTTGTTTTAGAAATACGCAAACATTCATAGTAACTGAATATTTGAAAAAAATTACGAAATTGTAATCAAGTTCTCGGGAACCTTCTCGTAGCAGCGAAGAAAAGGGCAATCAATAAAGGACCAATTAAGAAAAATGGTGTCTTGATGTAAAAGACTATGAACGTAAGGAAGGTGAAAGGTTAATCAACGAGAGTCCTTAAGGTGGTCGTTAATTGGTTTTAACTTTTTCAAAAACAATTCGATATTACAATGGACGAAATACGATATAAAATGGATTGAAGAGCCCAAACCCAAATCCCTATACATGTAAATATTTTTGAGCGTTCAATGCCCCCCTTAACAGTTGTTTGACCGAAATAAAACCTAAAGATAAGAATATATATTTACTTATTAGCTGCATTTTTAACAGAAACTTACACAATAAGTTGACGTTTATTGTTATCATTTGTATTTGAAATATGATAGTTTGATATTTTTGTTTGTTTTCTAATTGTTCCAAGACCAAACATCTCGGAATAGCTCCTAAAGGTACTTTCAAGATGGGTTTTCTTCTGTTATCATAGTGTATATCATAGGCGATTTAAAGGGGAATCCGGGATGTAGTCTTTTAATTGAGACTGATACAGAACAAATTAAAGGAAAATTAGCGAAGAAAGTAAAAGGGAAGAACATTTGCATATGTAATTTACATTCGGTCTCAAAGTTACAGTCTTGTCTCCAGTTGATATTGTTTTTGTTTACCACCAACTGCCCTGACCATTAATGTTAAGAAAGTTAATCTGTCTCGTTACCTTTCACTACACGCTTTAACATCCGCCTGTCAAAATGACAATGCAGGTCGATACAGATCACATTAGTATCGGGGTCACAAATTTTCAACAAAAATAGTTCGACCTCCACGAAAATACCTTCTTCACAACAGAGGAGAATTTTATTCGGGCATTCGAAAAACCCTCAATACTTCAATCTACAGTGTACTCTCTATAATCCGAAGTAGACTGGGACTATATGTATGTTGGATTACTAAAGGTTTTTTCTATCGCCGATGATTGCACCACCAGGCTTTGGAGTAGAGGCGAATGTTCAACCTTGTGACGGCCATTGCCACGGCAACTGTATTAAACTGCTGCAATCATCATTGGTGCCATCTGGGAGAATCCTTTATCGGTGGCTCAACTACCACTAAAATTCACGGCGGGTCCACACCACAGAAATATCATGAACTACAGATTGAAAATCTTGGAATCTTCCATTAACTGGCATTAAATTGACTTGCAGAATGTAGGAGAGCATATATGTGAACCTAAAATTCCTTGGGGAGGAAACCCATTCATCTAGTTCACTGTTTTTGATCAACACGAACTGAGTACCACTGACTCAACTTCCACCAAATCCATGGTGAGGAGCCCATCAACATTAAAGAAAATGTACCAAATTATTCCATAATCTAATTAGGCAACCAGCAATATATAAATAGACTGAAAATCTACCATTAATAGGTATTGAATTGACTTACAAAGGGGTCTCAGAATGCAGAATACGGACCCACACTCATCAAGTTGAGACTCTCCTGGGTATTATTTATTAATTTGCCACAAGAGATTGTCGGGCTTTTTACCTGCCTTTGTATTGGTTCAGACATGAGTTATCTCCCACAGTTCTGCAAAGTACGTCCCATGTAATGATAAGCTTTTTTGCAGTCTCACATAAAGAGTTTTCGGTTCCTGCAATCCCTTTCAATCGCAGTCACCTGATGGTGTAAATACTTTTCATTGCTGTTTCCGTGAAGAGAATCGTGTAAACGGCATAGAAGAATAAACTTGTCATTAAGGATGCCTGTGCATTGTTTTATGACTTCGATAAAATCTTGTTGTGCTAACCTGCTGTGGAGAACGAGCTCGGATCAAAACACGACAAAGGAGTCCCATGTAAATGCAACTTCAAAAAATACAGAATTACATGCTTCGTTCGGAATTAATGTTAATGAAGACAGGCATCGCCATGCTGAATGTAATCAGGAACACATCTTTACTCGTTTACACTTTTAATCCATCTGTCGGGGAATCTTTAACACAGACAACTGTCGATTCAGATTTATTTCCCTTGAAATTAAGTATGATTCCGAATGGCTAGACGCTTTTTTCCTTCTCAGTCCCTCAAACCTGTATCAGATGGCAGAGGTAAAACCGGTTTGAAAAATTCTGAAGTATATCTCGACCTTCACAGAGATTTAACCCAGCACCTTATTATAGTGAGCCTCACTACCAATTCAAATTTTTTCATTAAAAATTATTGCAGAGTGTAAAAATAAAATATTAAATTTACTAAAAAAAGATAAGCATAATAAATATTAAAAATAGAATTAGTAAAAAGCCATTTCTGTATAATTTAAAAACAGTAAAAATGTATTTAACAAGTTCATGGGGCATAGCAATTTTTCCGCACCTACTCTAGGCATGTAGGTTGATACCCACAATGACAAAGTTTACGTTTAACGACAGGCCTATTCATTAAAAATTAGCACCAAGTTTACAGAGGCCTGGCAGTTAAAATCCAATTAGTAAATCGTTGTGTTAAACTTGACCTTAGTCACAGCACGAGAAATCCACCAAGAGCAGCTCTATGTTAAGCCCTAACAGAATTAGTATCAAAGAGGTGAATCTTTGTGATTTTTCTCCATGGTATCATTTTCTATGTCCTTTATTGTTGGATTAACGTACACTTCCGGTTGTGTAATGCTTGCTGATCGACTTTTCTTACAACACCCGGTTCCGGTCGATTCAGATTTATCTCCCTTGAAATTGGGTAAGATAGGAACATATTTTGAGCATGCTAATTTGTCTAGATATTTTTGTATAAATGGTATATCATAAACATGTGATGAACTTCCGTCGTCAGATGCATTTTTGTCTTTTTCCCGCCAAGCTTTTATTCCTCTTTCTTCTTCTGACCCTGGAAAAAGAAATAATATCGATAATGATTGCATTGCGAGTCGGTATTTGTGTTGGGTCATTCAAATTTACGAGAAGTACGCTTAGGTCACGACCTGTCAACTATATAACCATGTTATTTAAATTCAGGGGGAAGATTCCAGTAAGCAGTGGCGTCACCAGCCTTCCGAAACTGGAGGTACAAGGGCAGACTGACTAAATTGGGGTGAGGAAATTCGTCAGTTCTGCGAAAGCATCTTTGGTGCAAGCTTCGCGCAGTCTCTTTAAGAAAAGTTTTGAAAAATAGAATTGATTCGGTGGATTTGGGCACATATTTGGGAAAAAACACGTTTACAATTTTTATTTTATATTTTATTTTATTTTTGAAAATGAAGTGGGTGTGCAATTAGAGGGTACCCTCAATCCCGAACGAGAAAAAAAAAGGTTCAATGTATTAACCTGGAATTGTGTTATCTAAGAAAAATGCCAATAAACCTGCCACAAACATGTTGGTGCTCAATAATACTGTAAATATCTGATCTACAATAACACTGCCTATTAAAAGAAAAAAGAGATAAGTATTACGTATTATCGCCGCTATTCTTTTCAACCTATTAATGAATTTATATTGCGCCCAAGAGAGCCGCCTTTCAACACCAAAGTACTTTACTGCTATCTTAAAATTCACATGTTTTGATTCACCTAATGAAATCATTCATTTGAGTAATATTAACAGCTGTCGCCAATGGTTTGAACATGTAATTTACCTGTATTAATAGGTGATGGTTGTTGTTCATTCATCCAGATTGGTACAGATAATGCAAACACTAACGGAACACCAATAACAAATAGATTTCTAGAAGAGTTAAGATTTACAAATTGTAAATTAGAGAGACCAACTGCAGTCACCATACCTAAAATATGACACATAATAAGATCAACACACTTGATTTTTAAAATGGCATTCCAATGAATTTATGACTTCTTCGTCTTTGAAAAAGCACCAACTGTGTCATTTTGACGGTTCTGAGGATCACAATTAAGCTTATGTAGCTCAGTAAATCAGATGCTTGCTCGTTATCTGAAAGACCAGGGTTCAATCCCTTAGGTCTGGTGGTTTGAAAAGGAAGTAAAGCGATCCCTCGCCGGTTGGAAATTGAATAAAAAGGTTAATGCTGCTGTCGTTGCAAATTTCCACAATTGCATAGTGTTTCCCGTTCTCATTGACCCAATGAGCAGAAAAGTAGGACGTAAAACTAATTGTCGTGTCATGAATGTCAAAATTAAACTTTACCAAACATGACAAGAAACATTCCACCAACAATAGGATCTGGTAGAGTAACAAATAATGCTCCAAATTTGTAAAACAGCCCAAAAACAGCATTATAACTGCACCCACTTGTGTTACAATTCGACTTCCAACCTGTGATGAAAATAGTTATTAGGATTCAGACAGTTTTCTGGAATTCATTGACAGAAATGACAAAATTAGGTGCATAGCCATTGTTATCCGATCAATTCCAAAATCGACTTTCTTTTCATACCTTAAATATCAGTCGAGGTTAAAGGGTTACATACTTGTATGTTAAAGGGAATCTTAAGCTGCTCTCTACCTTGGTAATGCCAATACCACCAATAGTATCACTACAGGAATAAAAAATGAGCATTGAAACGCATGCGATCAATTCTTAAATTCACTTTCTTAGCATACATAAATATATCAGTAGAGGGTTGTTGTAAATCATACCTTTGTAATGCCAATAGCACCAATATTTTCACTATAGGATGTGGTGCCACCTGGCGATCCAATACCAGCACCAATTACACAGGCTAACCCTTCCATTCCAATACCTGAAAATTATTCGATACCATGTAATTTCCACAAGCGATACCTGTTCACATGACACAGTACGAAACAAATCACAGATGAATCATGACTAAAATAGCTTCTTGTGTCACGAAATGGATAGATTTGATTGAATTGCACACCTGCGAACACATCCAATCAGATGCCTTAACACAAAGACTGTCAACATTGACTATTGTTTACATACTTTCTGTCTGTAGTCGCTAACACCAAAACTTATGGATACAGCAAATCATAATGGGAAACCAGAAAAAACCTCCACCACTACAAGACTTAATATAAATAGTAACACATAATAGCTTACCTCTGCTAACAGCACTCCCTGGTGGTGGTGGAGCATTGGCTAATCTTGCACATGCAAAATAATCGCCAACCGATTCAACTACAGACGCAAATACTCCAGCTAACATACCAAAAACACCAGCTAGACTAATAGTTGGTATTCCCCATTGTCCTATAAAGACATTGATAAACTGGCTGTCATAAGACACAGACAAAGGAGACTGTAAAACTTGTTAAAGGAATCTCTGTTTGTTTAAGTTCTATGGGTAAACTACTTATTGGATGTACCGACCTACTCTCTTGCACAATTCAATTGGAAAGGACGAAGCGACATATGGAATATATTTAGCTATCGGATTGGAAACACTCAGACAAAACAAAAATGAACTACCGGTAGTAATCAGAAT